TGACTAGCCCTGATCTACGGGCGTTACATAAATTCCGCAACATATTTCTTTAAAAGATACTCTGATTTTCAAAATAAATCATAAACAAATCAGTATGTTTTGACTGTGAAAATGGGTATGTCACATAAGGATCTAGGAGATATGCCTTTGTCGATTTGCATGCTATAACTGATCAACCAGTGGTAGGATGGCCTGTTTAGGTTATGCCTGATTGTATGATCCTTCAAATTGCATGCTAGTACAAATTCGTGATTATAGGATAGAATGGTTTGATTGGAGTATGTTGGTTAGATTTTCTATTGCATGAATATTGCTTGCTTTGTGCTTTGTGAGACTCTTAGCAATGTGAGCTAACTAGTAAGTGAATATGCTAAGTCACATGTGGCACGGGCTTGATAATCTCAGAGTGATGGAATTGGACCTATTGCATAGCTCTTGTTTGAGTCCAATTGTTTTAGGATTGAGTATTTTTCTCGAAGGATTATATGATCTCTGTTGCATGTGGCTATATTCATGAGGTAGCTAGTTGACATTAATGGGAAATCCTTCAACATCTGAGGACTGGGTGGGTTCGGGAACCTAAGAGAGCCTAAGATATGCTTTAGTGAGTTTTGGTGCTTTTGTTTAGAAGGTGGCTTAGAGGATTCGAGATGATTGCTAAGGAAAGTATGGATAGGTGTGGAAGGTAGTATTGGGATCGTACTACTGAAAGCACATGATGCATACTCGAATTAGTGAGAGTCTTGGAGAGTCTAAGAAGCTTAGGGGAGAAGGATATTTGGTTACATTTTGATCCTTGGCATGTTGTATTTCAGTTTGGTGATGAGCACTCAGGGAGGTGGTTCGAGTTATGGATCTGGTTTGGTTTCCGACTCAGGTGCAGGTACTGAGCCGATTAGCGATCAGATGATGGAGTTCATCTCGTCGGAGATTACCCACAATATTTTAGAGCAGACTCCTGTGATATTTGGTTCAGTCAAGGAGGGGATTTTAGAGGTATTGGATAGTCGTCTCGGGGACTTTCGGGCCGAGAATATAGCAAGGCAGTTGGGGGCTCATTCGTAGCCCGAAGCTTGTGGATCTCTAGGATCATTCTGGAAGTAGGATCCTATTGTTAGCTTTTGTCGTTTGGGATCGGAAGTGAGTTATACACCATGTCTTCAGGGGAGTCAACTTCAGGATTGGATTGTCGCAGAGGTTTCGCAGGCCCTCCGTGAGGAGTTACCCGACATCATTGGGCGTGTCACCGATTGAGTGGTGGCCGGGATCAAGAGGCCGACCTCAGTTATTCAGGCGGTTGATGAGGTGGTTAGGGTGACCCAAGAGCAGGAGACTGGTTTAGATAGTCAGCCGAGGAAGAGGAAGTGGACTTTCAGTCTGGCTCGACAATCTGAGCAGCTGGATGTTGTCGTAGCTTGTGTCAGAGACCCGAGGGGCCGAGATGGTTGTACGAGGGATGAGGGGACACAAGAGGATGTGCGCAGCAAGTCTAAATGTAGCAGGTGCGGATAGAAAGGTCACAAACGCCAAGAATGCACATTAGAAGTAGAGTTATGCCATCGTTGTCATCAGCCTGGTCATGTCAGGGTGAATTGCCCCAGCTCAGCGGTTGGGGCAGCTCCGGTTTCATCGCAGGCTTCGGCAGGAAGGGGGATTTGAGGTTGCGGGTATGTATCTTTTTCTCTTTTCGCTTCTATATTTACTTTGTGGTTGTGATCTTTCATCGGTTGGGTAAGTGTATCTTTGATTTATTTCTCTGATTATGTATGGTTCATATATTTAAATATTGTCATATGCCATTTGCATACCATGAATCTTTAGTGGTTTAGCGAAGGGTGTTTCTTTTATAGCGGGTTTGGAGTGTTCAGTGCTATCGTAGTTTGTTATCAAGATAGGTTCGGTGACATTATATGAAGGTCTACAGTCAGGGTTCAGTAGGGTGATTATCCACCCTCGTCAAGTTTCGGAGGGTTCAGTCATTGTGCTTAGATTGACTCATGGGATCGCAAAGGGAAATGGTTTATTACTGAAGTTTTGCTCCAAGCATCGGTCAATTGGAATTCAAGATTTGAGTATGGTATCATTTTAAGGCGTCTGGAGTTATATCTATTGCTGAGATTCAGATTGTGTTCATCTAGTCTTAAGAGGTTGTATGGTCTTTTAACTTCGGCTAGTAATGGATCGCTAGCATTAGTAAACGACCGTTGTTCAAGTTTTAATCAAAGTCTTGCGTTACAAAATCTAAAAGTTGTATGTTTTAAACTTGATCTTGAGCACCATATTTCCATCTAGAAATGTAGGGACTTTTCTTAAAATTTATCAAATCATTATTTTATAGTTAACGACAACTAACTTAATTGTTTTTAAAATATCCGTTTATGTATATTAAAATACAAAAAGTACTATTAATACGAAATGACATGCATTCATTTAGCATTTATTTAGTATCTTTAGTAGGTTAGTGACAAAGTCTTTCCCAAATGTGGTTAACGTAGTTTCCAAAAGTCAAAAAACACAAGAACTATATTACTTTAAAAAACAGACTTATGTATATATTGAATAAACTTATTTGAGATAACTTGGTGCTATAATGAACACCATTTTTGTAAAGGCAAATAATTAAAGAGCATGTCACATGCAAAAAAAAAAAAATTATATTTACAGCAAAAAAGATATCACATGCAAAACACATTCCATGACTTTTATTAACAAAATAAAACTTGAGATTGTCGACTTCTTTGTATGTTAATAAAATTTAAAGACAAATCCATAAAATCGACATCCAAGAACAACTAATTCAGACAACAAACAAAATGAGAAACATGGTTTTACTATCGTATATCCTTGAAGCATTAATTTGAATTTCATATAACTTTAATTTGAAACAAACGATTGCAATATCTAAGAGAAAACGAACTAAATGTGAAAATCTCATGTCACAAAACAAAATAAAAAACCTAACATATTCAAACCATAAAAATATCTACCGGATTTCATCGAAAACATGTAGATTTAAAGATAAAAAACAAAAAACAAAAAATATAAAATTCAATTAAGAAATCATATACTTATTGTTGTATAAAAAATATAAGACATCTTAGTTCTCAAGTTTTATATTGCGCTAGATTATACTCACTCATGACTCATGAGTTTTTTATATAGGTCACATGAGTTCATTTGGTACAAATTTATAATTCATTTCATTTTTTTGTTAGATAAACTTTTTTACTATATTGATTGTTGGCTTAAGTATAAATAAGGGGGATTTCTTGCATGTATCTATTTATGTATTCTTTTTGCCAAAGATCATGTGCAATTTAATAAAAACTAGAAATTTAAAAGACCATTTGTAATTTAATAAAAACTAGATTTTTGACCCTCGTGAAAATTTTGGTTGATGCCAGAGGTGTAGTTATGTAGACCCAAGGCAGGTTATAGACCACACCTAATTTTTAAAATTTATATAATATAAAATTGAAGACCTATCTTGAAAAAAAATTAGAACATACCTTATTTGTACTGTTGGACAAAATAAAGAACAAATAAATAAATAAAAAATCATGGGTAACTTATAATTAAATTTATAAAGCAAATGATTAATATTATGAAAACTCATCCTATATTAGAGATAAAATAAGAAATATAGTTGTTTGATATTATAAAAATGAATTGTGAAAAGTTACAAGAAGATTTGAACTCATCCCACATTATTAGTTCATTATTAGTTGTAGAAAATGGTTATCGTAAATATTCTTTTTAAAAAGTAAAAAGATTAGTTTGTGGAAATAATTTTTTTCTTGCAAAATCCGATTTTAAGGGTTATATATGGTGGTTTTTACTGGTATTTAAGTCGTTTAACTGGTCCGGTGGAACTCATCCTTTTGCAAACCGACTGTTTTTTATTGATTCGATCCGACACGACATGGTACGTGTACTGTTAACTTTTTAGTATTTTTGGTCTCACTTAATTATGAACCACATGCATTTTTATTTTAGATTCGTTAGTGATTGATGCTGAAACAAGTTATTTAGCCATCTTATATATGCATTTGATGTTCACTTTAAAATTTAATATATTGCTAGCTTTCAAGTTTAGTGAAGACTGAAACATAATTGAACCTTTAATGATTGAGAATTTTTTTTAACAATTGGTCGGGTAAATATGACAGTCAACATTATATCGGTCTTTATTTCGTATCACGTTAAGGACAAATTGGTATTTTTATATCATAAAATGTTGAGATACGCAGAGAGATAACAAGAAAAGAACACAAATGACCTCATATAAGGACACATGAAGGTATGGAAGAGAATGGATAGTATCTTGCATAATAGCCAAATGCAATTTTTTTGAAATTACAGAGATATCGTTGGGCTTCATTTTTAATATTTTGACTCAAAAATACAAATTTCATTCAACCATGCCGACAAGGCTTTATTCACAAAACTAAAAACATATTACAATTCGTTTTTTTACCCAATTTTGACTTGGACTGGGCCTTATTAAACACTAGGGGTGTTCTAGTTCCAAGTTATTTTCAAAGACTAACAATAAAAGTAAAACTAGAAAAAAAAGAGAGGTTGTTTTAAACCGCTATTTGATAAGTTAAAAAAAAAACAAATAAGTTGTATACTTTAATATTAATATTAATATTACTGATTTAATAAAAATAAATAATTTGATCCTCCGGATTTAAATCGGATACTATGAAAAAATGGAACCAGATTCGTATCCGAAACATTCCGATTCTTTTTCCGGACAAAATCCGAAAACCCTTATAAATTTGTCCGTATATGAAATCCAATAATTTTCGATCCAGAAATTAAAAAAAAAAACCTAATTCAAATTTTGGAAATTCTGAATCAAAAAAACACAATTAAACGTAATCGAATTTAATTGATTTTTTTTATCGAAATTCAAAAAATCCAAATCACTTAGGAATCCTTAAATTAGTAATATGAACATTATTGTTGTTTCACTCAAGCTACAACTTGGGTACACCCAATACTATAGTTATTAATTCAAAATTCCAGGTTTTCCGGGTCTAAAATTTGGAACAAGTTCAATGTACTAAAATCGCGTTCCAATTTGTTCTATACCTATTTTATCCGGGTATGATATCAAGAACCGAATTGGAACCGGTTCATATATACCGGTGCGGTTGCTGGATCTACGAATCCTTGAATTCCGGTTTCCAGGTTTGGATCCATTTGGACTGAGTTCAGACCCTCTTTCCCTACTTCTGAGTAGTGCAAAAATCCGAAACCCATTTGATCCAATTTTTATGCACCTTTGCCTGCGACTCCGAGGGAAGCCACGATGCATTGATTAATAGATAACAACACAGCAATTAGTCGGTCATAATCCCACCGGAATTTGCTGCTAATGCCGTAGTTGGAGTTACGCTTTCCGCCGATTTGATTCTTTGCTTTTTGCAAGACGCTGCGAGAGCTTTTAATATACCCACCACAACTCCCAAATCAAACAAAATAAATGTGGTGGAGATCTGCTTCCTTCATTCTCGACAGGAACGACAATCTTCTTCAAGACGATTCCGTTCCCAAGGCTGAAAGCCGTATTATCTCTCCGCCTTCATCCTCCATGGCCGACACCCTCAACAACCCTAACCCTATCCCTGTCAACAACATATCCGCTTACTACCAGACAAGAGCGGCCCACCACGGAGTCGTTACAAGCGATTGGCTCGCTCAGGCTCAAGCCGCCGTTGGCCATGACCAAGATACCCTGCCATCTGATCCTGACACTTCACTTAACTCCAGCAGCTCCGAAAAGCCGTTCAGCGTCATCGATGAGTTTAATAACTGGAGGAAACAGCCTGATTTGGCGGAAGCGGTGGCGGCTATTAGGGCTTTGGCTTCTGTTATTAGGTCTAGTGAGGCCACCACCATGATGGAACTCCAAAGAGAACTCAAGACAGCGTCGGATTCTCTCAAGGCATGTGTTTCTTCTTCACTCTCTTTCAGAAACTTTCAATTATATTACAGAGCTTTGCTGTGTAGTTGCATTTCTTTGATCGAAATCAAATATAATCAGTCGTCAAATTGAACTGTAACTTTCAATGACAATGTGCTTCAAAATCTCACTCCTGATTCAGGATCACCTGTATCTTCTTTGTTTTTGACAAAAACTTAAGACATGTTCTACATTTTCAGTCATGGGACACAACTTCCATCTCATTAACAGCAGGTTGTGATCTTTTTATGCGCTACGTAACTAGAACTTCAGCTGTAGAATATGAAGACTTCAATGCAGCCAAGTCTCGATTCCTTGAACGCGCATTGAAATTTGGGGAGATTTCTTATAAGGTATGTAATCTTTTGTTAATGACACCCAGAAAAGCTTTTAAATTTTAACCAAGATTCACATTCACAGGCTCGAAAAATCATTGCAATGCTAGGTCAAGATTTTATCTTTAATGGCTGTACAATCCTCGTACACGGTTTCTCTAGAGTTGTTCTTGAAATCTTGAAAACCGCAGCACAAAGCAAGAAAGTCTTTCGAGTTCTCTGCACAGGTTTGTGTCCAAACATAAAGATTCTTTGAATTAAAACCTCCCATTTAAGAATATAAACTTAATATGATCTGAAAACAGAGGGGCGACCAGATAGAACAGGGTTAAGATTTTCAAATGAGCTGGCAAAGCTTGATGTTCCTGTGAAGCTCTTAATCGATTCAGCTGTAGCATACAGTATGGATGAAGTTGACATGGTGATTGTGGGAGCAGATGGAGTTGTTGAAAGTGGAGGTATAATTAACATGATGGGGACATATCAGATTGCATTGGTGGCTAAAAGCATGGATAAGCCTGTTTATGTTGCTGCTGAAAGTTACAAGGTTTGTTTAAAGTTGAAAAGAAATGATATAAATTAATGTTTATATTGATTTGTTGAAAACTTTGCAGTTTGCTCGTTTGTATCCGTTGGATCAGAAGGACATGGTACCTGCATTAAGGGCCGTTGATTTTGGGGTACCAATTCCATCAAAAGTTGAGGTTGAAACATCTGCTAGGGATTACACACCACCTCAATATTTGACACTGCTTTTTACAGATTTGGGTGTTTTGACACCTTCTGTTGTTAGTGATGAGCTTATCCAGCTTTACTTGTAAGGTTGGGGATTTTAATTATTTTTGGTAGATGATAGTGATGAGGCTCTTTAACAATTGGAGATGAGGGTTGTTTTTTACTTTTTATCTATAAATTTTGATGATTTGGATTTGCAATGTGAATCTTTTTTACTGTTTTAGTTTGACTTTCTTGGTTACATGGAGAATATGGAGTTATTGTGTCTCGTTATGTGTAAAACACGCTGGATTGTAATGGATTTCCATTCTAGATTCCTCAAAGTAAATGGCTAAATGCCTCCTAACTTGTTACTGGATTGATGCTGGATATACAAATGGTGAGAGTTTTAGCTCTTCTTAGATGTGAAGATGTCACAAGTCTGTCATTTAAACGCCAAAAGTTTATTTAAAGAGAAAAAGAAGACAAAAAAAAAAAAAAAAAAAAAAAAAACAAATTAGACCAATTTCATAACTATTTTTCAAAGATTTAAGCAAAAATTACTCAAGTCATCACAATAGTCGTGTTTTTTGCATATGGCATACGGGAGAAAATCCTTTTTTTAGCATGTTAAAAAAAAATGTGTTTAACAAACTAAGAAAATTTTGTTCGTGGAAGTCCCTATAAATATGTTGGACGTTTAGTGGGGATGAGTTTGAAGTTAACAAATATGAAGTTAACAAACTCGCGTTACTAGACATCCCAACCAGTATGAACTATGAAGTTAACAAACTGTCGTAATTTTGATAATTGTTGGTACATGCAATAGTTAGATATGACCAGTACGACAAGAACTTTTATGTAATTTTTGAATTTATATACAATTTTGTATGCATATTAGAATAACTATTTTTTTCTAATAAATTGTGTGGAAGTGTGTTGGAAATTAATATTTATGTAAATTATTGTCAACTAAGAAATTATATATATATATATATATATATATATATATATATATGTTATGAGTTTTAATGGAGTTTTTGGACTTTATAAGTGGGCAAATATTACATAATCCGCTTATATTATGATTGAATAATGTTATTAAGATCTAAATATGATTTGGTGTCAGGTTTTTTTTTTTATCTTAATTGCAAATTTGTAAAACCCACAGATTCCAGCTAGAGATATAACAAACGATAAAACGACATTTTGATAAAAGTTTATTTAGGATAAATAATCTTAAACAAAGTTATAGTAGATGTGACAAGAATTCCGTATATATAAAGAACTCTGAAATCCGATTTCGTATGAAAAAGTTATGCTTATTTGAAGTTTCGTAGATGTGACAAGAATTCCGTATATATAAAGAACTCTGAAATCCGATTTCGTATGAAAAAGTTATGCTTATTTGAAGTTTCGTAATTAAACCGACTCATATATGTGCGTCGTAAAAAGTGAATTTTAGATAAGTTGCTTATTAACCTAAGCAATCTAACGAATGTTGAAGAAATCCTAAAAGCGAGAACACGCATATAGAGAATGTCCAAATCTGACTTCGTGAGAGGTAATTATGATTTTTCAAAGTTTCAACGCAACAGTGTGCGATACAGAAACTGAATTTGAAATCTATCGATTGTTAGGAAAAACAATCTAAATGAGATTTGAAGATCTCTTCAATACCTATCCGTCGATATCGGGACATCTGAGCCTGCTCCGAAGCGAACTCAAGGCAAAACATCGCCCTCTCAGTGAACATCCTGGTGATCTTAGTCACCGACTCCGAATCCTGCTTCAGCTCAAGGAACTCTTGAGCCAATCTTTCCCTCTCATCCTGCGGAACATAGCGAGCGCTGAACATCTCTCTGAACTGATCCCATGAAACCGCAACTCTCTGCGCATCCGAGTATGATCCCGTGGTCGATCTCCACCAATCCTTCGCCTCGAGCCTCAACAGGTTCAGAGCACACCTCACCCTCAGATCAGCAGGGCATGAACACGTGAAGAAACACCCCTCCATGCCCGATAACCACCTCATAGCAACAATCGGGTCCTGAACTCCATCGAAGGTGGGAGGCTTCGTATTATCGAAGTCCCGATACTGAAAATCCCTATCAGCTCCTCCCCCTGCCGCTGCCACAACCACTGTAGCCGCCGCGGCAGCCGTCTCCGTGAGAGCCGCATAGCACTCATCAAAATACTCCACCATGACGGTCTTGATCGACCCAAACAGTTCCGGCAGCTCGGCCCGGAACAATGCAGCAACCTCATCATGCAGGCTCACACGAATCCTCGCATCCAACTCGTGCGTACTCATCTGAATGATAACCTCGGGCGGTACTGACCCGTCCGCAACTCCTCCTCCTGTACCCGATCCTCACCCGGATCCTCTTCTAGCATGCCTCAAAATCTCCATACTGAAAATATACTAGAAAACCTCAGACTCTTCCCACTATCCCGGGAACCAACTCTCAACCCAACCCTAGAGGTCATGGTTTCCCTGATACGCGTATGGGTCCTGTGCTTTCAGTAGTACGGGCCCATACTACCTTCCACACCTACCCATATTTGTATGAAGTACTACCACAACACCCTAGAGAAACATGCATAACAACGCTCAACCCTCACCACTAGAGGAACATTGAGAATCTCCCATAAGGAACCCTAGGCTACAGGCATCACAATCAGGCAACATTAACATGAATTCCTGAAGATCCCTAGCCTAACTCTAGCATGCTGTTCTATCAAAGCTCAATAAAACAAATGTCATGAATGGTAATTTGGGGTTACTTACTGGATCCGGCTGATCGTACCTCCGCGTCCTCCTTTTACTTAAATTTAAAACCATTTTAATTTCTCTTTTAAAACCTTCCTCGATTTGAGACTGGAGTCACACGAGTGTTCCTCCAATTCACTCAAACCAAGACTCTGATACCAACTTGTAACGACCAAAATTTCGAAACAATTAAAACTTTTCAAAACAATCCATTTTAATAACGTAGTTACAAAAAGGTTTTCAATACATTATTTAACAGATTATTTTCCCAGGTCCATTTCATAAAACACCAACGCGAGGAACGCTACGATCACGCCTTTACCTTGCCACAGACTCCTGAGAACCTGAAAACATAAAAACCACAACTGTAAGCCCGAAAGCTTAGTGAGATACCCCCAAAATACCAACCACATATACGCCCTTCCAGGCCACAACCTTCTGGTCCAAAACATATCGCCTTCCGGCCCATAGCATAATGCCTTCCGGCCCATAACATATCGCCTTCCGGCCCGCAACATAAAAGCATATATATCATGACAGAACATAGAACAACCATGCATACCGGGTTACACTCCCGACCAGACAACCATGCACATAACATGTAATCATATAACAGTTCATAGTTAGCAAATCGATCAACAGATCACATAACATATCATTACCCTAACCAAGATACCAGCCTAGCCAATCACTAGCATAACATCACCCTATGACTCAGCCAACATAATAATTATGCACATACGCCTTTCCAGGCCATGACCTTCCGGTCCACATCGCATTGCCTTCCGGCCCGCAACATGTAATGCCTTCCGGCCCATAACGTAACGCCTTCCGGCCCATATCCTGCAATATCATACAATAGACGATTACCCGGATTTCCATCCGATAAAAGGGTCGGCCTTGGTGCCTTAAACCCTATAGATATAGTGAGGATAACTCACCTCGAAACTGCCGACTGAACAGATAACCCAAGCTGGTCCGATCACTGATACGATCTCCACCACTAGACAGCCACCAATGCATTGAACTCAAAATCATAATCAACAATTACCAAAATACCCCTGGAAACCACTGGTCAACCCTTGGTCAAATACTAGGTCAAAGTCAACCCCTGACTGACCCTACTCGCCGAGTCAACCCTATGACTCGCCGAGTTCCCATACTCAAAACTACACTCAACCCGCGACCTAACTCGCCGAGTCACCCCGAGACTCGCCGAGTCCAACAACTCTAAGTCCACTGGCACATAACTCACCGAGTCATCCCTTGACTCGTCGGTTCTCGACTCAACCAGAAAATATTTGGACTCTTCGACAAGACTCGCCGAGTCCAAGAACAGACTCGCCGAGTCTAAGGCTATTTTCAATCTACTCGCCGAGTTGTTCATCCAACTCGTCGAGTTCCAGCTTATCTTCAAGCAACTTGTCGAGTCCACCCATGTGACTCGCCGAGTACCACCGGTCTGCATCCAAACAGAAGCGTTCTAGACCATGCAATTGATCTAAAACATAGATCTAGCCTCCTACAACTCATCCATCACGTAAAATGGCAATCTTTACGTGAATCCAAAGAGATCTATGCATTTTGCACATTAGGGCCAAGGTGTGGGACAAGATAGCTTCATCCAACACTCAACACATGGACTTTCCTGCATTCCAACTCTCCACCAATCCAGATATGAGGTAGCAACCTCAGATCTAACCTCTAGATTCCAATATCACCCAAGATAAGCTTCCCCTCAAACCCCAAAATGAAGAGACAAGAGAACAACAACCTAAGAACGAGATATTACCTCAAAGGAACGCCCCAATCTGCAAGGAACTCGAATCCAAGCAAAGCCCCTTGCTCCACACCTTCAATTTTCCAAACTTTCTTCAACAATTACTTCTCCAAGCTCCAATCCACTCAACAATGGTGCTTCTCCACGATTTTAGGGTTTCTGGGACTCAAGGGGGTGATAAAGAGGCTGGGGAGGAAACATAATGCTCTTTATATAGGGCTCAACCCAGAGAATTAGGGTTTTCTCCACTTAGCGCCTACTCGTCGAGTCCATCTCATTGACTCGCCGAGTCGGCTATCTAAAACACGACCAAGTCGCGACTCTACTCGCCGAGTCCATCCATGGACTCGCCGAGTCACTCTTTCCCAAATTACACTTTTAGCCCTTCAACTCAACTCTTGCTATTTCGGGATGTTACAGGAAGAGTCATAAGGCAGATTTGGGTTGCTTTTGCACCCGAGGAAGATCCCATGCAACAAAAGAGCCATTTTAGAGCCTTTTTGGCTCAAAAGTCCCACGCATGCACGTAAAGTTCGTAACTTTACGTGCTAGATCGAGCTTAGGGGCTTGGATCTATCATTTGGATAAGTTGTACATCAGAAATCGAGGATTTAGGGTGTGGACGTTATCGACTCGGCGAGTCCGTTCATGGGGCTCGACGAGTCCAAGGCATTTGGTCCCATATCTGTTGAGGGTCAAAAGAACTCAGTTGGGTGTTAGAAGGGTTGTAGTAGGTCAGAAGGAGTGACCCAACGCATTGGACTTAGTTTTAGACCTAGAGTTCATGGTACTCGATGAGTGCTAGAACAGACTCGGCGAGTCCAAGACAATCTCCTTATTTTTGAAGATGAACTCGACGAGTTGTTCATACAACTCGGCGAGTCAAGGTCGGGACTTGTTCATCGGATGAAGGTGAACTCGACGAGTTGTTC